TATATATATATTTTCATAAACACTGCGCGCGCATCCGCTAAGTTATTATATTAATAAAAATAATTTCTTACAAGATCATCAGCGATGATGACGACAATGTTAGGTGGCTGTATATTAGAAACATTATATTTCAAACCAAAATAGATGCATGGGACACTCAAAATCACTACAAAAACATACACTAACAAGTCTGTTCTTCTCAAGATCATTGTTTTAAATTTTGTCAATTTGATAAGATGAGATCACCAAAATTAATCAAACTCATAAAATGTCACACATTAAATTATTGATGATTGATGTCGCAATGCACTATGTATACATATATAGCAGTAATATTCGTATATTAAAATTAACGATTGATCAGCTGACAATTCATCTTTTTTAATATCCTAATTTATGTTGACATTTAATTATGGAGAATCACAATAATCTTCTCGTTCGACGACATACACGTAGTTTGAGCACTTTTTTCACATATAATCTTGCATTATCAGTATCTAGGATTATTTACGATTTTATCATTCGACGATCGAACGATTGTCAGCGATGACCGTCCGAGTTCGCATTAAATTTGATACTGTAAAGAGTAAAGCTAGCGCCAGACTATGCACGTATTCGCGATTTGTTTATAATTCATGAATAATCTAGATAGAATATTCGCCAAATTCGACCGATCAGATTTTTTTATACCGTTCACGAATCGCGAATTACGAATCACGAATTGCTAATACGCGTATAGTCTGGCGGTAGCTTTAGACATGCATTGCTAAATTTATACACTGACAGCGATTCAGACGCTTACTGACCTGATTATGGTCCTTGTTATGATCTACGTAGCGTAAGCTGTTTACAGCCTAATTGAACTCGTTTTAACAGACTTTTTAAAAATATTTATCTTTTATCGCAGCTGTTGTGCACAATATGCATATAACCTTGGATATATACTCTAACATATAATATCTATTTATGCAAATATATTGTTTTAAATAAAACTTTTACGCGATACTCTTATCTGAAGACGTTCGAAGAATTTATCAGGATACATTAAAATTCAAATAATGATTATAATATACATATTTATTAATCATACATTAAATATCCAAATAATATTTTAATATACATGTTTATTTGTCATATATTATTGATATGATCAATTATAAATTAATATTTATAATTAGAGGACTATATATTAATAATTACATATTATAATCAAAATAACAATATAAAGTATTAATTAAAAAAGAAGTATCGACATATTTTTATATTCCATCTTTTTCGATTTACGTAATAATTTCATTTATAGTGAGAAATTCAAATAATGCTGTTATAAATCACATGTTAAGATAAATTTGATCTGAAGTATTATCTTTCACATTCAGAGAAGTATGATTAAACGATAAGATGAAAAATAAATATACATATCTTGCTTTTATGGAATGTTGCTTAATTCTACTCAAATTAAACAATTTGATAAAAACGTACGTTTGAAAATAGCGTTTTCAAATGAAGATCGATGAACATAAACGCAGAATCAATTAATACATTGTTATTTAAACTAAATTAAATTAGCGCTCCGTTATTTTAACAGGCAAAAAATCTGTTCTGGCTCTATTTACAATAGGGTATTATAACGTTTTTCAAAAATATTTTTTTATTGAAGTTCATACCCTATTTAGTTATTAAAATTTTTTTCGTTTGCATTATTATATTAATTGTCTGTTGGAACTATGTATCTGTTATTAATCTGTGTTTGAAAGCATTAATTGACGTAGGTATCTTTCTGTCAGTATAGTTGAAATAACTACCAATTGTCGACAAGGTCATACACTCTATAGAGACGATACGCACTCGAATTGTGCGAAACTGTTGATAATCACACAATTATGATTAAAAACTTGATAACTAAAATGTTAAAAAATTAAAGAAATGTTATCAAATTATCTGAAATTATCTATAAAATTATTTATCCACGATAAAATCTTTCCTCGACTTTATTGTCGAACGGGTACGATAAAATAAACCATCGCATACATCTGTCGTCGTTTTATTCTGCAGCGTAAATCAACAAAATGAAATGAATAAGTGAAGTGAATAATACGAAGCAAAATAATAAAAAGATGTTGACGTAATGCCATGTCAAAATATGCAACGAGGAAAAACGCTATATAAATGTTAAATAATTCGTTGAAGCGTTTGGACGTAGTTCGAATTTAACATATCTATATATTATAATTTATTCATTTAAAAATAAACTTACTGCAGACACACATTACCATATGCTGTAAAATATATACGCATTTTATTAAAAAACCGCGTGATCTTTTTGAAATATATGAAGGAAAAAAGAAGGTATAAACTAAAATATAGATATTTCTATCGATAAATCGATTTCTGCTGAGTTGCTTTAAATTGATCAATGCATTTTTCCTCAACTAATTGATGAAATTCGCACTTGAAATTATGTTTTGCTTAACATTCGCTTAAATAAAACTATTGCACATGACTGTTACGAGAATAATCCCGATGTGAACACAATAGGCCAAACTAACCAGTTGAGCCGCTGAATTGTTCAAAATAATTCCACCCGATGTTATCCACGGCTCCCACGTATTGTTCGTTCTTCTTGGATCTGCCAGCCAATCTATCGGTATCTTGATCTGTCTCTTAACGATAAACCCGTAATGTTCCAAGAATTTATCCAGTTCCCGAGAGATCTGCAAAGAGGAAAATTATTGTACAAGATGTCATCCAACTTAGTGATTCGTAGCTTCGCTATCTTGATCAATAAGCCTAGACTATGACAAGCAATTATACAAAAAATTAATTATTATTAAAAAAAAATAAAACATTGCTATTAAAATAATATATAGTTTAATTCTTTAAGTCTTGAAGAATAAAATATAAAAAATACTTTCTAACTAGAAACGTTTACTGATTATATATGTTTAAGACGTAGAAGAACATTGATCTCGATAATTAGTTTCAGTTTGTACAAATTTAACATCAATGCAATGTTTTCTCACCCTTGAATATTGCTCAGCGATGTTCTTCGTTTCGCAGGGATCATTATTAATATCGAAGAGACACTCGGTAACGTTGCATGTAATGAAACTGTCTCTAGGTCGGCAATTGACAGTTGCATCGCGCCGTAATTGAATCATCGTGCTGGGTTGAGTGACTGGATCACCCAGGTGACGAGTGATGCTCTGCGATACCACACTCTTTAAAACGGTGTCGGTGTACGGTGGCATATTTTCTTGCGAGTCCAGGCTTTTCCTGGGATCATTAGGCATAATTCTTTCGATATCTCGATAATAACCATCAAAGTATCCGCCCTCGATTGATCCTGAGACATAGATATGATTTTTCCTAAATATACTAACAACGCGGAATTATTGCCAATAAATGAACGAGCTATCTATTATGAACGCCGTATCTGTTGAAAATCACAATTTTATGAGTGTTGAAAAACTATGAGCTTGCGCGTGGTACTTTCAAATTTTTTAACATACAGTTTAAGATCTAAGTCTTTTTTTCTTTAATAATACTTTATGATTCTAAATTTTATCTTTATATGTGTGAATTAGAACTTCAACTAAAATAATTATGTTCATGATAATTTGTTCATAACTTATTTCTTTATGCGTAAGTTACATCATTATTTCGTTCAATAATTCCAATCATATAAGTACCCCGAAGAAGCTTGAATTGTTTGTATATGGCCCCCTCGGTCTTAGAGACCTCGTCGATGTTAAGCAATAGCTTGTCCCTGGCACTCGGTAGACTGTTATTTAACATGCACCATTGATCGACTCCATCGATCTTTCCCAAGTCCCTCACATCACCACCAGCGATAGTATATAAAGTCGGCAACCAGTCGGTTATATGCATCAGATCGTCGCATACACGTGCTGTCTTACGCAATCTTGGTGACCATAGTACAGCAATTCCTCTCACACCTCCTTCATACAGCGTATATTTCATCTATCGTCATATGAATTATGATCTTATTTTACTGTCTCTTAAACTATCAAAGCGGTCCATAAGTTTGTACGTATTTTTTTAGAAATTTTCAAATATAAAAAAGTTAAATATAATTGAAATAAGTTTTAAGTAAAATTAATATAATTTAATATAAGTTAAATAAAATATATTTCTTATTCTATTTATCAAGAGAAAATTGATTAATGGACATATTTGTATAATCAAGTATGCCACGAACTTATCGATTCAATATCTATATCAGATATGTGTGTGATTTAAAATACATACACCTCGTAAGGGGTAATTAGAACCGTAATTGCGGGATTTTCCAATGGATGCTGCACCGTTATCAGTTAGGAAAAGGATCAATGAATCCTTTAACATCCCTCGGCTACCTAAGGCTTGAACGACACGTCCAACGGAATTATCTAATCGCGATACCATTCCTAACAAAACAACAATGAAGTATTAAAAAAACGATGAATTATTTTTTCATAAATATTCTCTGTCAGTTCTTGTGCTAAAATTCTATCAATTAACTTAAATATTGCATAAATTTATTTATTTAATGTAAACTTTTATTGTAACTGATAATGAAATTAATATTAGATACGACCGATATTTTTTATCTCACCTTTAAAAGCAATGTAATAATACGTACCAGCATACTTGCGGCGATTTATTTCCCGAATGTGCTTAAACTGTCTATCGTAGTAGTCATAATCGTGCGGACTCTCGAGAGGCGCGTGAACAGCGAGATGCGATATTTGAAGAAAGAGCGGTCGAGATGGCTCGTGATACTGAATGATCCTGACTGCTTCATCAGTGAAAAGATCAGTCACGTATCTTTTAGTTGGTCCGTAAGCTGGGTCATCACCACGATGCATATCATATCCGCTCATGTTCTAATACAAAAAAATATCAAAGTATATAACAACAAAATGTGTAATAATAAAAAGTAAATTACAACGTTAAACATAAATTTTTACGATTATTGTACGAGATTATATACGAATAAAATATTTTAATCTTATCTTTGCATTTTTATCTTTGCGCTATATAACATTATAATGGTCGTCTTTATTAAGAGAGAATCGTATGTACTTGATTAATTTTTATTACATTATTTATCTAAAAATATAATATTAAAAAAAAAGCAACAGGGTCTTATGGACATTATCTCGATTACATGTCAAAATTTGTTACGAAATAATAATTAGCTCAAATAATCGGGATATACATATATATGTGCCATACCTGAAACGAATATTTATAGTCATAATATGTAACGTGACTGTTGTAAAAGCCAAAGAAGGAATCGAAACCCCGACGTAAAGGGGTGTGTTGAGATGTGTAGTATCCCACATGCCACTTTCCGATCAGTTTTGTCATGTACCCCAAACCTCGTAGATATTCTGGTAATATCCTTACATTGAGAGGAATCCCTTTGGGTTGACCACCCTGTATATCTTCTCCCTGCATACCTATATGAAGCAACGTTACGCAATATAGGCATACAACAAAAAGATGCGTGGGTGCTGCATTAATTTTTTAAACGCGCGACAAATTGACACATCCTGTTATCGTTTGTGTCAGAACCGGTCATAAACATTATTATATATATATATATATATATATATAATAATATATATAAAATATTTTCTCTATTTTTTGCACAGAAAGAGATATCTTTTCTGAATTAAAGAAAATAAAAATAATAGTAACAAATTAATTTTGTATTGAAAATTTTGCAAAATGTATTTGGCAAACTCTGGTTTAGAGACACTGTTTCATGATATTATCATTTACGAAGGACGATAAGTGATATACATACCCATACGTATTGGATACTGTCCGGTGAAAAAAGCAGTTCTAGAAGGTGTGCTGGATGGTAAGACATAATGCCTGTTTAATATAATTCCATTATACGCCAAAGCATCTATATTCGGAGTCGGTATCTGATCCGAGCCGTGAAAACCGACGTCATCCCATCCCTAAAAATTTGGAGCATTATTTATCTTTAGCGCGTAAATGGATAATCAATAATTACATTGAAATGTTAATTCAGTGTTTTGATAGAAAATAATTTCTTCTGTAAAAATTTTATTTATAATGCTACGAGATAAATGTGTGTACATATACATTTATCGTAGTATTACAAAGAAAATTTTTATAGAGAAGGTTAACTTTTACAAAAACACTGCATTATTAACATTTCTATGTAATTGAAATGTAAAAGGGAAGAAAGTACCTTTCTTCTGTGCATATACGTGTGGCGGACCGGAAGTCTAATATATAATAATTACATGATCGAATTAAAGTATAATTGACGTGTAGGAATTAGCATTCGTCAAGTAGTTGGAATGAGTCACAATCTACGACTTGATCGCAGAGGCGTGGATAGTACGTAAGCCACAGTAATTAACTTAACTACAGATAATTTTAATCATACTTTCGTACAAACTAATCGGGCCAAATTGAACATACAATGTAAGCACAAGTAACATAACAATATTTTATGCCAATCATTATATAAGGCATAAATAATTTTTCTGCTGGAAACTTCTCTGTGGATGTGTTTCAATATTCTCCGCAAAAAAACAGGCAAATTAAAATTAAATTATTAAAGAATTTATTTTTTATGTGTAAATGTTAATTTTTAAAGATTGCACTGAAAAACTTTGTTCTCTCTATTTCCTTTTCCATATTAGTATTATTTAACTATAATATATATATAAATATTGAATGGATATTTAAATGTTTGGCAAAGAGACCGAGGAATGGCAAAGTTTTGGATTGGTAAATCTCCCTTATAAATTTTAAATAGAGAGAGAAAAGAAATCATACTTTTAATTATATTATCTTTGTAATTAAATTATAAAATCCTCTTAAAATTAACAATGCAAAATATACATGTGTTAACAGAAAAGAATTTAACAATTATAAAACTAATCCTTAATTTTTTAAATTAGGACATTATTTTAAAAAATGATAGCTTGTACGTGTGTATATATATATTGTATTTCAATCCATTAATTTTTTTAAAATAAAATTTTTTAATAGAGGATGCAAAAGTTGTTAAAGTTTTACACATTTTCAGATAAGTTGAAACGTAAAATGTATCAAAACGATTCACATGCATCGTTGTTTAATCTAAAAAGAATTGCCTACCCAATCTTCAATTCACATTATCGGTAAAACTGATCCATTTAAATATATTTTGGACTATTTTTTCAAATAAGATTTTTATTATCTTAATTACTTTAAACATCAACAAATTAATTATTATTTTATAATTATTTATACAAATACATAAGTACATACATTCCGCGATATCAATCTCATAAATTTGAATGATTATATAGCAATTATGTATTGCATTCACATATCCGAAAAACAATAACGTAAGAGAAAGAATAATTAAAAATTTCGTTAGAGTATTCATTACTATTAAGATGTATATATTATTTTTTCAAATACGATTAAAATAAATATATATGAGTACATGTCTTCACTCTCATCAATATCTTACCAAATCATCGGCCATGAAGACGATTATGTGCGGTGCTGTTTCGTATAAGCCCAATGTAATTTCAAACAATGCAATAAAGCATAAAGCAAGTATACTACCCCGAATTGTCGTTGAACTCATCATCTTTGAGATGATTTAGAAGTTTTCAGATATTTGAAAATATACGCGTGCTGAGAGAAAATAAACTTTCACACGTACTTCTTTTCACTTTGCGTCACACGGCAGCAATAAATTAATGTGCAAACAAAAGGAAGGTATAATTATGTACACGATATATATATACATATATATACATCTACGATGTCTTGCGGGATACAGAAGAGCAAGAAGAGGACATAAACAGGTTTATATATAGTCCACCTACGAAAGAGCACGTCATGAATGGATCATGCGAATGGGAAGGGCAGATATACTAATGATAACGGCAATGATGAGAATATATAACGTGTCTTATAACGTAACTTATAAACTAGGTTACTTCTCATTTTACATCCTATTCTCTCTACTTGTCTAATTTCCCCTCACTGCGACTTACGATCGCGTAGAATTTAGGGAACGTAACGTAAGAGATTTTTCTCGCGCGGTGTTCTTTTACTGACACAGTTTCATTCTCTTTCTTTCTCACATCTGAAGCTTATTGCCTGTAGAAAATATCTGCAAAGAATAAGATAAACCGAAAATACATGTATATGAGTTTACATATATTATATATTAGAAGAAATTGAGAGTTTATTACATTCGTAATTATTAACGCCAGAAATTTATACAAGAAGTTTTGAAATCTTTATATTTCTTTTTTATTGTTAGTCTTTTCCTACTCGTTCTAATTCTTTTAATGGAATTAAATGTAACTTTATAATAAAATATTTTATGATGGTAAAATGATCTTATGGTAAATTGTTCTCTCCATTTTTTTATAAAAAAGATATATTAAAACAGTAGATTTTCCAATTAGCATTTTTATGTGCGTTTTTTTCCAATTTAATTTAATTCTTTACAAGTATATTCGGATAACGTAACATATACAAAATGTCCATTAAATTGTGATACTCTACCGGTAAAAATATAATACCTCATGCGAAGAAAAAAATATATATATATAGAATACATTTTTTCTTTCTTTGATTACGTAATTTCCTAGAAAGATAACTTTTTTGAATATTAAAATAAAATGTGGACCTATTTGATTTTATGTGCATCTATTAACTAAAAAGTCTTTTCTTATTTACTATAGAATTTATTTACATACATTGTGTATTTATATTATTATCGTATATTATTCTTTTAACTGTGTATATAATATAAGATACGTCTTATCTGCCTTAAAATATATTCAATAACTTCTCAAAATGTCAGATAATCGTAATCGGGAAAATATACTAATATATTTTTAGAATTAAGAATTTATGTAATATAATTAATGTCATAATATCATTTTAGCTGTAGTTTGCTTGTTAAAGAAATTGTATCTTAATATAAGTATTAGGCATATAAATTCAATATATAATCAATAGCATATTTATATTCAAAATAACTGTCTTCAAAAACTCAAAATCAAAAAGAAAGATTGGCCACGTTCAGCAAAACAACTATTGAATTGTCATCTTATCAACTCTTGATTTATTGGTTTTAAAAGTAACAGTCAATCACATTGGATTGCTACTAAATGGTTTGTTTTGCAGAACGCGCTCATTTATTCTTTTTTTCGTTTTCACATAGAAAAAAAAATTATTTTACACTGATCCTATGATTTATTAACGAGAGTTAATTATAAACGCGTATAGTTCATGATCTAGAAATAATATGACAAATTAATAACAAAAATATAAGAAATATTAAACAAGAATAAAAGTTAATTAACTGGGATAAAATAAAAGAGACACGTTATAAAAAATATAAAAACGGAGAATGCAAGTTATAGTAACAAATTTATTTAGTTACAATTGTATTGCTTAATAAAATATGTGCATGCTCTTTTGCATCAAAAAGTGTTTAAATTTTGTATTATATTTTTATTATGCTCTCGAGAAAAGATTAGGTTTCACAAATTCTTTCTTATTTTTCTATACACACATCTAACTTTCTTATATTAGAAAAATTGCTTTTTTCCATATTTGTATTGCACAATATATATAGAAATATGTATATATAATATATTCAAGTTAAAAAATACAGGTACAAATAGATCCCATATATTTAATATTTATTATCTTAAATTACAGAAAATTATCAGTTTGCAAAAATGCAATATATGCAACGAATCTTTGGTAATCAGAATTTGTGGTAAACTCGCTTGAATCAATTCGACAATGTGTTTATGTTATCGAGATCTTGCATTTTATGTATAGTATGTAGATTGTCCCACCAATGCAACAGTTTGTATCGGTACATTAGATGGAACCATGGCGTTAACGGTATCATAGTCTTTACGAAGTTTTTAATCTCTGATCTAGGCATCCAACGAACCTCGCTCACTTCATCGGGATTAGGATCTATAGTGATGTCATCCTTTTGCAAAAAGAGCACGTAATCGATCTCGTGTTCACCCCAACGTGAATTACTCATTGCTTCATAGTAGATTCTCGTCAGATAAAATAGTTCATGAGGTTTGATTGCATCGCTGGGTATACCTAGTTCATAATTGAGTCTTCTTATAGCTGCTCTGCGTATACCCATAGCGTTCTCCTCTTCCATTTCAGAAGGAATCTCTGCCAATGGATGACTGCAGCAAGTATTTGTATAATGATCTGGGAATGTTATCTAGATGTGTAACATAAAGTTGTGTCATATAAACAGATAAACAGATTATATAAACATATAAACAGATTCTTTAAGCATTTATAGCGTATTCAATGTTTACAAAAAGTAGGAGAGAGGTTATATATTAATTTAATTGTATCTAATCAAAGTTCAGGATAAATAAGCAATTTTATTTTGAACCTTAATTTCCAGAAGATATAATGTTATATAATAAAACTGAAGCTTATATTTATTAATTTTCATACTAGTAATTAAAATATTCAAGATTATCTTAAAATATTATATAACATATAAATCTTACCTTATTACTGGATCGTTTTTGGAGTAACAGCTCTCCTTTGTTGTTGAACAGAAAGACACTGAATGCCCTATGAAGCGGTACATTTCCTTCTGCGTTAATTTCATGACAGAATTCTTTTGTAGCTTGGCCAATAGGTCTATCAAACTTATCTATAAGTATACAACGTTCCTTCAAAGCAGCTTGCTGCAACGGTGCTATTTGTGCCGTTCCATAATTTTTTCCCGCAAACGTTGTAATCTTATGCATGATATTGCAAAGCTTCCTAGACACTCCTTGTATCATGACGACAAGTATAAGTTAATTGTTCCACTGCCAAACAGCAACTAGCTATAAATAGAGATACAGAGAATATTTGTCTTCTTTTTTTTACAATGTATAATGTTGATGTATTCACCTATTAAAATTTGACCTTACAGAGCGTAACTTTGAGACTGTATTTCGAAACCAAGGTTGCAGAAAATTAACACAAGAATCAAATATCTTGAATAAACGCGTACGTTATACGCAATAAGATATTGATGCGTACTTTTACCTGAGTAACATTAGGAGCACACTGTTAAACTTTCTAATTAAAAAGCCAATCACGAACTAGTTTAATATTTACTCGCATGCGGTATCAAAAATAATGACGGGTATACCAAGAATTTACACATGCAGTTAACTATAACTATATACGTAAACGTTACTTTTCGATCGTTTCCGTAACTCGTTACACAAATGAGCTTTTATTTAAGTAATCCCGAAATGTATAAGAAAGTTATTAATATGATTAATAAAATTTCATTCGTTTACGTAAAATCATGTGTTATCTCAGATGGAACACATGTTCGCACTTGTCAGTATTTCAGGATGTCCGGTTTCAAACAATCATAGATTTAAAAAAATCATGAATATGTATGCATGTCATGTTCAACTTTTAGAGTCCCTATAATATTATTATAGGGACTATTTCCAAATAACTTCATAATTTAGTTCCATCGGTAACGTCAATACGTCGTTTCTCGGGCATAGACAAGAATTGGTAAAGAGTCGCCACTGAATAATGATCCGTGTCGATCACTGCGTTACCGTTGTTACCGATCGCTTGCTGTCATCGGCTGTAGCGCCTACCTCTTGCTCATGCATATACCGTGGTCGGCGCGTGCAATAGTAAAATGGCTGCCGGGAAACGTCAATATATTTTATATTAATAAGAGCCTGCCTTTGTAAATAATCGCGCGGCGCAGGAAGACATCGCAATAAGGACGTATGCCGTTCAACTAATCGGCTCGATTCTTATCCTTAATTGCGTGTATGTGAGTGTGCGTCGACAGGATGGCGGAATTTGTGCGCGGCGGACCCAGCGTGTCCAACAATGCTAAGGTATGTACGTATGTACGAGGAGTATTATTCATCGTCCGCCACACGTCATTTCTTTGTTATACAGCGTCACGAAAGGGAAGCGCGATCGCCGTAACACAAATTGTCTCACGCCTCTCTTATTTAATATCTTACCCCTTTTTTCAATTTTTATCAGCGCGCTTTGTATATTTACGACTTATCTCGAGTCTATCGTTATCGGTGTCGTCTGACCGATACTCTTAATTCCTCGATTAAGCATGCACGCGATAATTAAAAATATGCACGCTTTATACTATACTTTTTGTTTATTTTAGAATTAGTATGCTAGTATAACATTTGTTAGTGAAACTGATTAGTAACGTGTCAAAAATGGATCAAATTATTGACACATACATATGTATAAAATAAAGTCGGTGAAAAGTAAGAATAGAAGATTGATCTCATCGAATATAATGGCATTTTTATAGATGGAACATAGTAGTAAAGGTGGATCTCCCAGTACAGGAAGCGAAGATGGCGGTCAGAATGAATCGTTAAATGCAGAGAATGAATTTGATCCTTTTCTCGAAAATATACCAGATGATATACAAGATACAGAAGAACCTGATGGCGCAAATGCTACTTTATTAACAGCACCACCAGAAAATCAGTGAGACTGAATATAATTTATTAATTTTTTACAAAATTTTATATGATTACTTTGCGATAGAGTTACGTGTTAATGCAAGACTAATTATATGACTGAATGCATTCATAACCATAGAATCAAAACAAATAGAAGCATACAATCTCTCTTGCAGGTGGTATCATGGTAGATTAGATAGATTTACAGCAGAAGAAAGACTGTGGGATGCGAGTAAAATGGGTAGTTATCTGGTTCGTGAAAGCGACAGGAAGCCTGGAAGTTATGTTTTATCTTACCTAGGGAGAACTGGAATAAATCACTTTCGAATTACAGCTGTTTGCGGAGATTATTATATTGGTAGGGACTGAGATGTAATTTAACAAAAAATCCTCAATACATAGCATATTATATTTAAAGCAATTTAGAGAGATATATATATACTTTAATAGTTATATATTATTTGAGAGACATTTTATTTTAGCACATGAGATCCATTTATTCTGAAAATGATGCAAGTCAAATTTTGAGGTATAATGTTAAATTAAAACATATTTGTAAAATGTTTCCAATGTACAAATTAAATGACACATATAAAACTCTCTACATTTACATAATTTTGCGTGCAGAACTGCACACAAACGAATATTTTTTACTTTAAAATAATGTTGTAGGCGGTCGTCAATTTAATAGCTTATCAGATCTGGTTGCGTATTATACTCATTGTTCGGATCTGCTAAAGAGAGAAAGACTTATACACCCAATACCACCCCCTGAACCAGTAAATGATAAGAAACGAATTGTCGCGATATTACCATATACGAAAATGCCAGATACTGACGAATTGAGCTTTCAAAAAGGTGATATATTTTTCGTGCACAATGACATGGGTGATGGGTGGTTATGGGTCACTGCCCATAGAACTGGCGAACAGGGTTTAATATTTCGGGAATTAGTGGAGGATCTCGATGATTCAATAGATCCTAACACGGTGTTTTCCTGGTTTCATCCTAATGTCACCAAAAGCGAAGCAGTGGACATGCTGGTAAAAGCTGGACCTGGAAGTTTCCTAGTAAGCAAATAATTTCTTTTATCTTATAAATATTATCTCTTCCATTTTATATTTTTCTTGATTTCTAATTTATTCTTGTATAAACTTTATATTTATATCTTCTATCATAGGTCAGACCATCGGACAACAGTCCGGGAGATTACTCACTTTTTTTCCACATAAACAATCAGATACAAAGATTCAGAATCGAAAAAAAAGGAGTAAGATACCTAATGGGAGGTAGAACATTTGAATGTTTGGATGCTGTAATTAACAGGTATACTTTTTACTGTTTTAATTTTGCACAGAAATAATAGTTTTGACATAACTTTTTATACTAATATTATATCATAGATATCGAAAAGAACAAATTGTGGAAGGGCACACTTTAGTTCAAGCGATGGTAACCGAGCCTGATGGTAGTGTCAGAGTAAATAGAGAAATTCAACATGCCGAGAAAATATACGCGACTTTGAGAGAATGTCGAGAGCAATCGGGAGCGAAGAAAAACAAAGGAATTAAAATGCAGGGATATCTGGAAAAGAAATCTGAGAAAAATAAAAAATGGAAAGCATTGTATTTTGTGTTGTTGGTAGATGCTACCGACACGCATCTTTATTTGTACGACAATCCTAAGAGAACCAAGCCAAAAGGTCTCATCGACTTGAGTTGTGCTTATTTATACCAGGTGAGAAATACACATTGGAAGTATGTCATATATTGGCATATTGAAATCTTAGATCCTATTGAAATTAATAACATAAAAGTAATTGTGCTGTACAATTGTTGTAACATGCATGACATACATGTGCAATATTTCATGAGTAAATGGCGGAAATAACATCTTAGAGTAAACGCGAGATGAATTATTCAAGTGTTTTTTTAGGTCCACGAAAGTGTATTTGATAGGCCTCATTGTTTTCAATTAGTTGAACGCGCATTACCTTGTCTGGCCACGATAACTTACTTGGCTGCCCCGAATTCCGAGAACGCATTAGATTGGATTAATGCCTTGAAACCATTATGTGTATCACAACTCACTCGTGCTCCAAAAGTCGCTCGTCTCCGTGAATTACGTTCGTTGCATCTGCATATCTTAGACGCGCATAGACTTCCATACAAGCTAGTCCCGAGTCCATTCATTATAGTGGCTCTAAACAATGTTAAAGTTGCTCGCACGAAAGTTAAAACGGGATTACATTCTCTCTGGGATGAGGAATTTATTCTAGAGTACGTAAACGACTTTTATATAAAGTTTTTACATATACAAATTTTATTCAACTGCGTTTATACTCAACAGGGATGTACCGCCGGACGTTATGTCCTTTTCGCTGACTCTGTATAATAAGGGCAAGCGTAGCAAAGACACAGAGGTAGCGGAATTAACGGTTGAATTGGCAAGTTTGACTAATGGCGAAGAAATGGACGAGTGGTATCCGTTATCGGGAGTTACACCTATCGGGGAATGGGGAGCATTACGTTTACGCATACGGTGAAAATGAAGAACTTTTTTTTAAAACATTAATATACTTCAAAAACACATTTACATTATTTTTCTCGTATTAATATAGTCTCTCATATTAATAATAATAATAATAATAATAATAATAATGTGTGTATGTATGTTACGTATATATGTATTTTACAGATACAGACACGATTTAGCTATGCCTCCCGAAGAGTACAGTCCTCTTCAACAGTTACTGCTAGATCCAGAACTGCATGTTGTCAAGGCTTTAGCGGATGTATGTCACTTAGATAGAGTACCCTTGGCAAATAGTCTTCTTAGAATTTTTAGGTACAAATAATTATCTTATATGATCATCTAATTATAAAGATCAATTTTTTTATATCATTTATCTTTTAGGCATGAAAGAAAAGAGGCAGATCTTCTACGCTCATTGAATCAAGCAGAAGTAAGTTATGATTTGGCTATTCAAGCATAAAATATAAGCATATAATTGTAAAATGCATTTATTTAGGTCGAAAAAGAGGATGAAACACCAACATTGTTTAGAGCTGCCAGTCTTACTACTACTTTGATGGATTTATATATGAAATCCGTTTGTACTTCGTTTTTAAAAGCAGCTTTACGTGATACGATTGTGAAACTAATTGAAAGTAAACAAAGCTGCGAATTAAATCCAACAAAAATGGATTCTCCAGAAGATGCTTGTAGTAATGCAGAATTTTTATTACAAGTATATAATTTTCTTTGCAATATTGTATTTTAATGCGATTAACGACAATTATGTTAATGCATAATACTTTTCTTTTTCTTTTTTTTATTTTAGGTATTGGATGAAGTTACATTGAGCATTTTTACGAGTCCCGATGCTTGTCCGAGGACTCTCAGATATATTTGTGGATGCTTACAAAGAGCAGTAGTTGCTAAGTGGCCACATGAAAGACTAGTCAGAACTCGGGTAGTCAGTGGATTTATATTTCTGCGCCTTCTCTGCCCTGCCATATTAAATCCTAGATCATTTAATCTAATAGCTGAGCCACCACCTCCATCTGCTGCAAGGTACATTATACATAAATTAAAATTATACAAATATAAGATTAATATAGAATTTTGAATATCTCCAATATGTTGTGCTTTTTTTTGTTAATTTGAATTATTTCAGATCATTAGTCATGGTGGCAAAATGTCTACAAAATTTGGCTAATTTAGTGGAATTTGGTGGAAAAGAACCATACATGGAAGTTGTAAACCCATTCATACTCAAAAATAAAGAACGAATGGTAGTGTTCCTTGACCAGTTATCTGTAAGTTTATTTTATGTTTATTTTATATTATTTATTAGAGCTTTTTTTATTAGAGCTTTTTTTATTTTTATTGTTGGGTATAAATGTTTTGATATTGCATTATCCATAAAAATTTCAACATGCAGTAAAAAATAAAAATTTGAATTTATATAATTAAACTCATACAGAATGTTGCCGAGAAGCCAGAATCCGAGGGTACAGATCCAAGAACCAAAAGCGTATCCGACACTGCAAGAGATTTGGCGACATTACATCATATTTGTGTCTCACATTTGAAGGAACTCCAAGTTTTGTCAAAGACACAGGTATGTCTATATTTTATATAATTACAAATATTCAGGGTATATACATATAAAAAAATATGTTTCTTACTTATAGCCGACGATTAAACAATTGGTAACAGTGACTGAAATGTTGAGCAAACATAAGCAGAAGTATATGGAGATGATACGGTAGTGCTAGAGCCATCAGCCATGAATAATGCCAAACACAATAAAACGATTTATAAAATTTGACGGATAACATATAGTAGTATTTAATAATTATAATTAAGTAATTAAACGTACAGACTGACGTGCCATATATATTACTGTATACACACTCAAGCCTACATTTACTATTTCATATGTAATTAGAAGTTAGTTTATATATACATAAAAATATATATATATTGGATGATTGCATAAGTTCGTGCCCGATTTTCATTCTTTCATTCAATCAAGGGTTAAGATTCTTCAATATAATAAAATTACCTGGGGCAAACTGTTAAAGGTAAATGTTTCTTATATGAAACATAAACCCATTATATATGGTAAAAACTATTATAGCTATTACATAATTTGTTCTTTTCTCTCAATATATAGAAAAAATGTGCTTGCAATTTTTTACAATTTATTGCAATTTATACTTTAGAGTAAGCTGCAAATATTTGTGCACTGTGAACATAATGTAAGGCTTTTCTCATATTTTTGTAATATCTTTTCTGTGACTCAAAGCTTCTTTTTCTGCTTTAGAATGATAGTTTTATTTGCTTAGCAAATATTCACGATAAAAAATGGCAATTGATCAAAAAACTTAATTCATAAATTATAAAACAATTTATACAGCGATTAAATTTTACTTTACTAACATATTATAATATTGCTGTTTGATTAAAATCCATTAGTGTGCGACAAGTGAATAGTGTTATTAATATCGACTAAATATCTATAAGATAAAAAGTAATATATACATGTTACATTTTATGCCACATGTTACTAATAGCCTATTTGTGTGCCCTGTAATAAAATTTTTATATTATCCTCTGTATAAAAATGACAGTAACATTGACAAATATGAATAACATGACAGTGATATAGATACATACAGAATCATATAGGCGTATAACAATTTTATATTTACTTAGGTGCTCGAAAATAAATGCAACTTTACTCGAAATATTTCAATATTTTTAATAATTCTGAGCCCACTATCCCAAGAATAACTAAAGTCGCGTATTGTGTTACACACAATTTCTATAAAATATTTATAATATTAAATGTAAAATGCATATATCAAGGTAAATAAAATAAACCTTATATTATCTTGATATTATTATATATTTCAAGAACAGATATAATTTTATTGTGAACATTTTCACATATCGTATATCAGATGGGAGATAAAATATATTGAAGAGAAGTTTATATATCTATATATGTATACCTTAATACATTTTTATAAAGAATTTTAACAAATAATATAATCGAACTTTATACATAAAGTTTTTGATTTACGAATTTCGACTGTAATATAGCTGAAACATGAATATCATTGAGTAATATTATAATATATGAATGATTTATATTTCTATATAAATATTCACGTATCAATGACAACATATTGTTAGATGAAATTACAAAAATGATTTTATATAATTAATATTACAATAGTGCATGTACATGAGCCATAACGATCTTATAGGCAAGCATTCAACAAGTGAATGCTATATAACAAACAGGTTTTATACAAAGTTTTATTATGAAATTGAATGGTATGTGTAGTATCTCTATATTATGTGTGTACTTATATACACATATACATACACATTTCCTCATTAGCTGGAAACATTAATTTAAAAAATATTACATACGTATACGAGAATATGCGCGTTTGTATACATTAATATTAAAAAATATTACATGTATATGAGAATATGGAAATTTGTAATGTTTGCATTGTTTAACGAAGGATTTAACCCTTGATTGTTCCTTGAACATATTATAAAACTTAACCATTAATATTTACGTTGTATGTTGATCGTAAAGAATAAATTCATTGTATGTCGAAATTATTTTATTGTCAGGAAAAAAACTCAATTAACTTGAGTACCATATTACTATCTATATAGTGTTCGTCGTTTATAATAATTTTATTTATTAAATTATGAGTATGTCGCAATAAATCGTGGTTATTTTAATGAATTATTCTATTATCAATGATATTATAATGAATTAGCAAATTATTAAAGAAGCAGAAATGTAAGAATTTTTCTCGCTATCTTAACTTTGTTAACTTTTATTTTTATTTTAAAGTTTAAAAGAAGATTATAATTTTAAGTATATGTAGATTTTTATATAAACTAGAGAAAGATACAGCGTTATATGCATATGTTATCTGTAATTATAGCAAATATAGCTTTCTTGCAATAAATTCATTATCTCTAGAAATAAATGTAATTAGTTGAATATTTAAGCCTTTGGTTAATAATATGTAGGTAGCATGAGAAATTAATACAAGAAAGCGATATTCTGTCCAAATTTAGCAATCGATTTCGCGAGTTTATTTCGATATTGTTGTACAATTTTACTCGCATAATTTGATCTATAAATCTATTTCCAAAAAAAGCAAGTTCCTTAGAGGATACATCTATATATTTGCGCGTATATTCTCTTATATAACTACTAAATAAAGTACTATTTATATATATAAAAATTGCAACCAGGCTGCGTTCCGATATTCACTGCTAGTACTGAAAATCTATAGTGTACATGACGTAAATTATAGATTTTCAGTACTGACATGAATATCGGAACGCAGCCTTAATCACACAGTAACGCCTTAACTAACCTGATGTACTTAAGAATATCTAATCACAGCACATAATGAATTAAGTTTGTAATATCTTTTCTGTGACTCAAAGCTTCTTTTTCTGCTTTAGAATGATAGTTTTATTTGCTTAGCAAATATTCACGATAAAAAATGGCAATTGATCAAAAAACTTAATTCATAAATTATAAAACAATTTATACAGCGATTAAATTTTACTTTACTAACATATTATAATATTGCCGTTTGATTAAAATCCATTAGTGTGCGACAAGTGAATAGTGTTATTAATATCGACTAAATATCTATAAGATAAAAAGTAATATATACATGTTACATTTTATGCCACATGTTACTAATAGCCTATTTGTGTGCCCTGTAATAAAATTTTTATATTATCCTCTGTATAAAAATGACAGTAACATTGACAAATATGAATATCAGCATCAAATATAATATTTGCAAGTTAAGCTAGTTTTTTGCAATTCTATAATTTTATATGTATATATATATGTATATATATATATATATACATAATTTAAATTTCTGCGTTGTAATAGAGTTTTGAGTGAAAATATATATTGGTGTTATCCAAGAATTTATAAAATACAGCATCGACGTCTCTTGTGTCCGCTACTACCGGGTGGTTTACCTGTACGTTCTTTATCTTTCCGTATTTCTCTGACCTAAAATGCGTATACAATAAATTTTCGTTGCTTTCGAAATTTTTCCCGAAATCTCACGTGAAACATATTATAGAAACGTGATACTACTCATACATAAAAGTTTTCAATACGCAATATTATGAGTGTTATGCCATGTTGAAATTTGTAATACTAACAAGGATATCTGTGTTTACTCACCAAAGTGTAAAATGCATCATCTACACCCATCCTTGTTTTCGCTGAAGTTTCTACAAATGGCACACCATACTGTCGTGCGACTTCTCTCGCTTGAGTCATATTTACTGCCCAAGATTGCTGAAGGTCACATTTATTTCCAACTAATACCATTGGCACTTCCTCTGCATCTTTCACTCGTTTTATTTGTTCCCTATATGTTCCAATGTCCTATTTAAACACATAATACAATTATCTTAAAAATGTTAATCAAATAGATATATACAATTATCTATATAATATACTTACCTCAAAACTTTTAGCAGAGTTTACAGCAAAGACTAACAAGAATCCTTCTCCTGTTCTCATATACTGATCTCTCATTGCACTATATTCCTCTTGTCCAGCTGTATCTAATATATCTAGAAGGCACGTTTCACCATCGATCACTACCTGTTTAACAACAATATATATGTATATTTAATGAACTAAGAAAGAAGATATTATATTTGTAATGTTAAATTTTTTTAACTCTTGGATAATAAAGGATTCTGGCGCAGATTGTGCTATCTGGATCCAAAAAGACTTAGGCATCACCATACCGTACAGTTAATGTTTCATTATGACATATTGATTATGGCTAGATTAATAGTTTGAATATTTCAATAGAATGACAAGTTATTTTAAACTCTCATAAAACATTAAATAAAGTTAAATAGTATGCTTACTTGTTTTCTATATGAATCTTCTATGGTAGGATCATATTCATCAACAAAGTGATTCTGTATCAGTTGAATGGTAAGCGCTGATTTTCCGACACCTCCAGCTCCAACTACTACAAGCTTGTATTCCGTCATGATGCAGTTTCTTAGTGTACAACTTATAGTTTTTATTATTTTCCTCTAAGTAGTTCCTTGAGTTATCTACAAAAAATAATGGAATATAACATATTGTATACTTCATCAGTTTAAATATCTTTGAGATTCTATATAATTAATCAATAAGAGAAATCTCATCATAATTTAATTTTTGGGCAAATTTTATCAGACAGTTTGAAGAAATTAAGAGATAAATATATGATAAAATTATATCTATATCTCTTAAAATATATATGTTTGATGTCCCAAATAATATAAAAATTACTCTGCAGAGTATTAATTTCATCAATTGATTAACTTGATTGATTATTGAATTCAACATTAATTTTACTTATTTCCTAAAAATAACTTATAAAAAATAACTACAATAACTACATTGTATAGTTTAAAAACTTTAATCGACAGTTGTTATTATTACTTATGTTTACAAAAGAGAGAGCAAACTGTGGTCTGCTACTGTTTAAGCTGTTGTCCTCTGCTAAACTTTTACCTTTTTAATTTAATGTTATCTTTCAATATGTTAGCTAAGTGAATATCTATTTTTTCAGTGTTTCAGAATTAATTACAATTAATAAGTGGATATCTGTCTCTCTCATAAAACACATAAATGTAATTTAATAAGAAAAGAGCATTCAGCAGAAATTTTTAGGCTATTGGCAATATAACATTAAGTGTTAACTTAGTGTTAGTGTTGTCTTCTGCTGAAAACGAACATTGTAAGATCACTGATATTAGTCATCCAATTATTGCCAATATTGTATAATCATTGGCATTAGTCATCCAATTATATACTTCATAGAACCAGATACGCGATATTCGTTACTTATAAACGTAACTTTTATCTTACTCGTAACAATTTCAAAGGCACGATGCCTCGAACGCGTTTTAGACAAGTGAAAGAAGCGACATATAAATAAAAGCGGATCCAACAATCGTGCAACGAACATGCGGGCAGACGTAACAGATTGATCGTAGCATCTTCACGCGTCTCGATGTATTATTGTCGGCAGAGCATGAGGAGGAATCATTCGACGAAGTATCCGCGACGAGTCGTCGACTCGGGGTACTATGCGTGGCGTTGCATTTCGTAGTAAACAGTGCACGCATTGGGAGAGATGCGAGACTGGCGAGGAGAAACAGAGAGGAGGACAGAGTGTAGAACGCGGACGATGCATTGTCACTTAAAAAATGCTCATTTCATGGATTGCACTGGGATCGCTCAAGCACTCCGCCTCGCTGTGGTCCGACCCGTCACGAATTAGTCACTGGAGATACCATCTGGAAAGGAGCATCGTCAGTGTTGCCAATGTCACTTGTTCTCTCTCCTCCCCCCTCCCTCAACGACGACGACGACGACGATACGGAAATGTCGGAAAGGGTGTTGACCGTCTCGCGCGACTCACGGACAGCTTTCACAGATGGTGCAAATGTCGATGCGATTATCACCAATTATCGTTCGCGATATGGGTGAACGTGCTTGAGAGAATCCCCGCTGTACGATAACCTTCTCTCTATAGATATCAGAAATCGAAAACATTATACTTTATTTTATATATATATA